GCTCAGAAGCATCTCAGTATCCAGCAAAGATACTGACTTCCCAAAGGTACAAGCAGCTATGATATTTTTTTTTATACTTTATGGTTGTTTCTCTGTCCTCAGTCAGCTCCAGTGAGGTCTTTAACACCCATCTTCTGGGAAAGAAGAGTTCTGCTCCCTGATTACATCACCTCTTTAAATTCATGGGTGTCCGGTTTGGGTATAAGTTGTCTGCTAGCAGTGCATTGCCCAGAGATGAAAATTAACACCTTCTTTCAGTAAAGGGAGGGAAATAGGGCACGAGTTATTTCTATTCTGCATAGAAAACTCAACCCGAGTTAAAAGTTAATGGAGGAACTCTCCTGCTCTGAACACAGATCACAGAGATCAGGTGATATCAGCGAAAGTATCTATCTAACTATCTCGGAGGCAATACACACAACCATTTCAGGAGGACTACAGTCCCCAAACAGCATTAGGTGCTTGGCCTGTCGATCCTCTTCCTGGAATAAGTAGTGTTTGGGATCTTTTAGACATGACTGTTTCAGTTTCCCATGATTTCTGGCTGGTAAGGTGTGGAGAGCCTTCACATCAGCCATGAACAAGAGAAAGTCCTTTATTTCCTTTTGCTCTACTTTCTTTCCTCATTTGTTTTTTGTCAGGTGATGTGTACCAAACCAAACATCAGAACTATGCAATCTCTCTTAAAAACATCACTGAATTTTAGTACAAATTCTCTATAGTTCATGTAACGTGTACTGTCATATGGCCCTCTCTTTAATTCTTAATGGTACTTATCATGCTGATGATTTTTGTGTACTGTGTGTGTAGTTTCATCTGAACTGTCACATGCTTTGCTGTGTTATATCTATTCTTTTCTTTCTGAAGGTCAGCAGAAGTCCTAAGCTAAAAGAGACATTGTGAACACAGAGAACTCCAAAGACAATGACAACCTAAGATGAGGAGGCAACCCTGTCACAGCTTGACACAAAAACGTGCAGAACTGAGAAACAGCACCAGGCAGTCCTGCTCGTGCAATGCAAGGAAGAGCAAAAAGAATTGCTTATAGTAGGAGACAGAGGGTGAAGTAAGTTACTCCTTACAGCTCTCTTATCAGACAATGAAGAGAGGCATGGCGTCGTACTTCTGGAAACAGAGGCTGAAGTCCATCTAACTCAGACGTTCGACTGGAGTATCTGACCTTTTCTGGACTTTATCCTTCTGTTACTTACGAACATGAACTTTCTGAGTGGCTGAAAGTAGTGACAACTGTGGAAAGCAAGCTACTGAACATGAAAAGCTAAGGTAAGTCCTGATCAAAAAAAAAAAAAAAAAGCCAAAACACAACCAACCTCCCCCCTCCCAAAAAGCCCCAAACTGACTTGGCAGGTTTATTAAGCTCAAAACTTTTGACAGTGTTCAGGGCTTATTCATAACTCGAAGGTCTAAACTGTCTGTGTACTTTTAAAGTTACAAAATTACAGTACCTTTGTTTAACCTGTGTATTATCAAATGCAGTTTTAAAGAAAAGGGCAAAAGTAATAAAAAGCCTGAAAGTTATTTGCTACTGGACGTAATTAAGTTGCATGTCTGTTGAGAAAAAAAAAAATATAACTTTTCTGACTACTCCAGTGGCCCAAAAACAATAGGAATGATGCTGAAGCGAACAGGAGAAAATCCCCTTGGCAGAACGGATCCTTAGAAGGCATGTTTCCGAACACAGCTGAAGTGATCTTGGGTCAGTAACAACTATATGTCACTGCAACAAGTGTGAGAAGTAACTGCTGGCTCAAACCCAGAATTTGGAAGCACAAGGGCAGGTTTATAACTCCCCCAAGTCTCTCAAATGAGGCTGTGCCACAATTGCACTCAAGCCCCAGGACAGGACTTGTAGGTTCTGAGCCACGTCAGCATTGGATGTAATGCCAAAATAATAATAATTTTAAAAATTATGTACATCAGGCATTTTCCTTCTCAAAATACAGCACAACTCTAGGCTACAAGTACAAAAAGCACAGAGAATTAATTTGAGCAGAGAAAGCAGTAACCTGTGGGCTTACAGGACACCACCTATGACAGTATTCTTCCCATATGTACCTAAGATTTCACTAAAAACCCACCCTCCTTTAAAGTTCCATGTGTTATTCAAGAGTCATAAATTTGTCTCCTTCAGTTGTTTTTAACTTCTGTAATGTTTTTGTGTGTGAAACCAGTGGAAATGCCTTAAATTGCATGCCCATTCCTAATGTCCTAAATGGATTTTTAAAGCATCTGAACTATCACAACAGGAGTCTGATGAATGCCAGTCTCTGGCCACAGACCACGGGCTTCCCCACGAGATATTTTTCCCCTGAGAAATACAAAGTTAATGGTAAGAAATAACATGGCTCTACTCCTTCTTCTTCTTATTTCTCCAAGCCATATAAAACTAAGCACAAATTATGTTTGTGTTCTATGAAAAAAGAGGGCAAATGCAATTCTATTGGAATTATCACAGACAAGAGAAAACCTGAACTACTAGAACTACACGTTTCACAACACGACTACAAAGCCAACCTCTTTTCCAGACACCATTAATCATATTGAAGAGACAAGTAGCCAGAGCAACTGAGAGCAATGGAAATTTTTAAGGCAGGAAAATGAATTCATATTTATGTAGGATCTGTTAAAACATGTATACCTGACAAATTACTTTGTTGACAACTTCATTGTTGAGCTTTCTATAAATGTGCAGTTGGGTAACAGGTATCAAAATTGGACATTGAAGGTATCTTAAGAGAGTCTAAGGATCAAAATCAGCTGTGCTGACTATACTGATGAAAATGACATCAGACAAACTCATCATAAGTTGTGCTACCAGAGGAACAGGAGCACAGACTCCATGCACTTGTCAGTCCCTGCCTGTGCAGAGTGTTACCTGATGATTACACGCCAGGAGAGAAGACAGCATTGATGCAGCAGGAAGCAACTGGGCAGGGGGTATGAGATAAACTGTGTGTATACCAGGAGGAAAACAATTCCATCTAAAAATAAATAAATAAATCTAACATGCTCCTACTAAATGCTATTTCACTGGCACACTCACCTCCAGGCTTAACAAAAAATTGATGTATTTTGCCCAAAGCCTCAGTGACACTAACATCAATACAACTTTCACCCCTTTTCTCTCCATGTCGTAATTAAGCTCCATGAAAAGGCAGCTGGGGGATTAATCCTAATATGAGTTATAGTGGTGCAATTATCTTCCTCATCCCCAGTATAAATCCTTAATCCAGTCTGCAGGAAGAGTACTGCTTTAGCTCATATTTTATGGTTGGACTGACTGAGATAGGAGTAGGTGGTCAAATGGTTTGCCCAAAGCTGGAAGAGACCGTGGAGTTCATTTTAGATGGGAGTGTGGGAACCTGCTGGCTGCTCACTCCTGCCTCTACCCACTACATAGTACAGCCTTCTTGGTGCTTGTCACCAAGTTTTAACTACCAGCTCTTCTTTGATGAATCCTCATGGCAAAATAGGAGAAAAATATTGATAGCATTCTGTTACACCAGGCAGGAAAGAATCAGTGAATTGCGGTCACATGTCAAGTCTCATGGGGCAAGAGGAACAATCCAAATCATCAAGAGTTTGCAGCTTTCTGTCCTTGCTAAATGCTAAACAAAAATAAATTAACAAGCAATAGCAATTGGTTTCTAACTAAAGCCTTGGAGAATCCTGTATCATTTACAGACATTAATTAAGCTCAACATTTCTTCTGCAGTCAAGCAAGCATAATTCATTGTCTTTTCAGAAACAGCTACTGAAATGCTTACAGCCAAGGAGCTTTTACCAATTGAAGTCTGGTGGTTAAACAAAACAGCTTCCACATGGATGACAGAAGGCAAAGCGACCCCTCTCCATTCAGACAATGGAGAACAGGAAGGTCTTTAGTATGTTAATGGCACATCTCTGGACTGGGGATATTTGAGCTATTTTAAGCCAGACTCAAACCCTGCTATCCCAACACACAAGCCATCAGAAAATCATGGAGTAAGCAGTGGGAACACCAGACTCAACACTGTAGAGTGGCTTGTGATTTGAATTGATAGTCTGCCTGAATCTCAGGAATGAAGATAGTGCAGAGTGTATTTCGTAGTCTTGACTGGACTGTTTATCTCTCTATTGAAAAGTTCAACACTTTTCTTCCAACTCAAAACAAAAAGAAACTAAAGGCAGCTTCTTCAATTACACCTTGAGAAATCAGTGCACTGATAAAAAAATTTAAGGTTTACTTAACTGGTGGAAGCCAAGACTAAATTCATAGAAAAACAATCTACAGTAATGCTGAGAAGAATCAAGCATCTTCCTACTGTAATCAAATATAACAACACAACAACTTTTTACTGCCACGGTGCATGCAAATCACAGACCATACAGATGTCAAAGTACAAATGCTGATGACCTAAGGGACATTTTACAGCCAATGTCTAAAGATAAAATGCAGTTTCCTATGATGCTAAGAGGATAACCAAACTACCCACTTTTGTTCCCCATTTAAACTGCAATTCAAAACAGCTTGGCTATTTATCTTGCAAATCAGGGTGACTTGAGAATTTAAATTTCACTCTGAAAGCAATACTGTAGTCTATAGAGGCACTGATGGAAAAGATACATGCGTACACACGTGCCTGAAACCATCTCAGCTTTGGGCTGCAGGCACTGTTGTAATGCACAATAAACCCGGTCATAAGCAATAACCATTTTCTGCTGTAGATATGACAGGGGAAATAAACACTCCTTGTTTGTTTAATCAATAAAATGTGTTCACCTTATGCTTAACACTGAGACAGTTTCCCCGACAGGAACATCTCTGGGTTATATTAGAGGATACGTTAGGGGACAGTTGATATCTGGCCTCTACACAAGGTTTTTAAGCAAGCAAACCGTGCTGTGAATTTTCAAAGGGATCAACAGCCATGCTGCCCAAATCCTCCCACACCAAACCCTGACCAGAGCTTGCTGTGCAGCTCAAAACCCACACTTACGTCCTGAGTACTGTTTGAGTTTCAGAGGAATTCTGGTTTCCAACTTCTTCACAGCTTGGGATCTCCAGGTTCCCATACCTAAAAAACGAGACAGGTGTTTAGAGAAAACTCCACGGAACAAAAACAGAATCCCAAGTAGCATAACTCATATACAAGTATCATATAGAACTAAAAAGTATTTCAAGCTCCAATTACAAATAGGGAACATAACAGCTGGGCAAAGCTGAGGACCTTGAAGATTATTTCATTTAGGAAGGAAAAAATCCTAAAAAGACAGCCAGTATCTTCCAACCTAATTTATTAATTTGCATGAAGCAACCTGTACGTGGGAAGGATCAGCCAGAAGTTTCTTTGCTTAAAGCTCCAAGACCCTTTCTGCCCATTTTCATTCCATCCTCTTCCAGATCAATGTTCCAGCATGCAACAAAGCTGTAACACAACCACTTCCTCCAATACAGCTTCTGTTTCTCTAGTGTTGACGGTCCTTCTGACTCTAAGTGAGATTTCACACAAAGTTTTCTAGGTGGCAAGTGCCCACTTGTGCCAAAGCTACTGATGCAGTTGCCATGAGTGGGAATGGCCTGTGGTGCAATGAAAATGCTAGTGGGAAAGAGGAAACCATGGGCACAGCTCCACAAAGCAAAATCTCTTACCTACATAGGCAGTGTGTGCCTTGAAGGCAGGACTATGCCCTTCATTTTCAATGGGAGTGCCCCATTTCAGAGACATAGCTCCATAAAGAATTTCATGGCTTCTTAACAGGCAGCTTTAATGAAAGTGAACAATTCCTCACAGTCCAGAATAAGGCAAGATGATTTTACACATTCTGTGCTCAACTAATTGTGTCAGAAATCTGAACAGTCAAGTTCATCTTTAAGTGCTTGTACTACAACATCCTAGTAACATTGGATAGAGAAAATAGAGTGGGCTGTTGGCTTGTGTCCAGAAGGTTCATGTTAGAACTGTAACAAATTCATTCATATTTCAAAGGATAAAAATAATAGGTGGCAGTTTTATGCTCTTCTAAAGTCTCTGTCTAAGGCCTCATATGTCAGAATCCCAGATATGTACAGAAAGTCAACTAGTGTAACTGAAATCAAGCTCACTCTCACCAGCAGTTCTGCCAGATTGTAAAGAACATGTCCTAGCACCACCACCCACCACCGTCACATGGATATTCTGCCCTACCAGGGCTCACAATCTCAGAACTCCACAATACTTTAATGTGGTATGCTTTAACAACCTCCTGAAAGGAGGTTGTAGTGAGGTGGGGGGTCAGTCTCTTCTCCCAAGGAGCAAGCAACAGGAAAAGAGGAAACAACATCAAGTTGCACCAGGGAAGGTTTAGGTTGAACACAAGGAAAAAAGTCTTCCCCGGTAGGGTTGTCAAGCCCTGGCCCAGGCTGCCCAGGGCAGTGCTGGAGTCCCCATCCCTGGAGGGATTGAAAAGCTGTGTAGGTGTGGTGCTGAGGGACATGGTTTAGTGATGACCTGACAGAACTGGGTTAACGGTTGGACTCAAAGGTCTTAAAGATCTTTAAAGATGGTTCTTTAAAATGATTTTATAATTCTGTAAGAACTTAAGTTTCAACAATCTTGTGACAAGGGCTTATTGGACAATTCCACTGTGGCTGGGGAAGCTGAGGCCAAGAGGGATCAAGGGTTTGCATACATTCCAGTGCACTGCAAAGTAAACCCAGACTAATAAAGGCAAAAAAGTAACCCCTCTGATAGGAGCAGCATAGCCACCTCAGGAGGTCAGCTGGGGCTTACTTAACCTTGAGAGCGCTGCACTAAGACCACTTGTTTTATCTGAAACAGCTCATTTCAAAACAGATCTTCAGTCTCCAAATACACTGCAGGTAGACATAACAAAAAATTATTTGCTCCAGTTGTTACCCTGTATCTGTGACACAACCAAGAACAAAATCATGGACTGCTTGACCCCAGCAGCTTGGTCTGACCAATACACTGCCTCTCATTCAACCTGAGTTCCCACTCCAGTGGTGAAGACTTGGGAAATCTCAGCGTTTTATCTGTCAAGAAAAATGAAGGCATAACACATGCATAAAAACTTGCAAACTTATGTTTAAAAGGGCCCAAATTTTTCTCTGCTGTCCTGAAACAGTCCTGCTGGTCCTATAAGACAGCAGAAGTATGAAAGTAGATTTTAAGGACTTCTTACAACGAAAAGAGTCCTTAGAGGTACCTACAGGATAACCCGTTTTGCTGTTGTGATTTCACAGAGCTAATACAAACATCTAAAGAAGAATGTGCTTAGCTAAACTGACGATGGGGTAGGAATCTACTTCCAAACATGCCAAATAACACCTCGATCAGTCACAGTGAATCACAACAGGAGCATTCACATAGGAACCACTGCTTGGTACAACAAAGGCTGTCAATCTTGTTCTGAACATTTTTGGGGGTGTCAATTGCCTCTGTGCTTTCTCCTATTTTCTCCCAAGCAATTTCAAACCCTGCCCACGCTTCTTTTATTTGGATCAGCACTACTGAAGCTGTAGAACTGAACAGATACCTTCCTTTCGACTCTCAGCTATGCCCAAATTCACCACTTCATCCTACCTGCCCCCTCTCAGCTCTTAGTCACTCCCTAAATGCTCATTACTAACGTTTGCAATTCATAGTGAATACAATTAACTGTTTGACACACTTCCTACTGCTTTCCTGCAAGGATGGAATACATCAGAAGAGCCTCAAGAACAATAGGTCCAATGCTTTGCTAAGCTGAAGTGCGAATTTTAGCCTGCTTTTATTAGATTTAACTCTGTTAGTTTAAATATTTCAATATTTGCTCTGGCAGACCTGTACATTGTCCAGCATTTCCAAGTATTATAGCACTGGGTAACATGTTATCTTACCAAGAAGACACAAAAAGAGTGTAAGGGGGATATTTAGAGAACTATGCTGATGCCTTCTCAGTGGAGATCGCCCAGGAGAGACTCAAGAAATGCTGCTGATGGAATGTATGTTACATGCTATGACCATGTCTCCTGTCCTGTTGCTAAAGGGGAGAGGATTTCACTCTCCACTGCCATCTGCTAGGTAAGATGATTAAAATACATCTTAGCCAACAGACAAAAGACATTTTTCCCCCTGCTGGGAGAAATATGCAAAGAAAGCGTCAGGGTTTGAATAACAATTACATTTTGATATTCATTTTTCAAAACTGGTCATTAATCCTTAGAGCAAAATTTAGTGAGATGATTCACAATGTCAATGTCCTAGTAGTGCATGAATATAAAATATGTATTTGCAGAACATTAGGCATTTGCATTTAAATCCCACTAGAGAGATACACGCTGATTTTTATAATATAAACCCATAAGACAGTAATCAAGAGCAGGCAATATTCTGTACAAAACTGGAAATATATAATGCTTTGTTATATTGCTAGACGTAAAACTCTGCCTATATCTCCACACAACACCAGAGCTCTGCATGAACAGCAGGTCATTAAATACGGGTTAGTAGGAGTTAATGATACATCTGATGTAAACAGCAGCATTTCTGCAGACTTCCACTGCTCTGTTCTCACCAGCTCCTGCACAAAGAGCCATTCACTACCCAGTCTTGTATGAATGCTTTGCATACAAAAAGAGACATGAGAAACAAAAGGATCCTGTAGCCCACAGAACTTTTCAGCCTTGCCTGGTGTTTGGAAAGTTATAGATTCCACTCAAAGGGACTGACTAAGCAAATGAGACCAGAATGTAATGGGCAGTACTGAATATTTAAATACTAAAAAACAGAGTAGAAAACGCACCCCTGATCTCTGTTAAGAATGGAAGAAGAAAGAGGAAAACACTCTTTTAATAACTTGGAAATAGTAAGGAAAGGTGATTCTCTGCAAAAGCCCCAAGAAAGCCCTAAATAAGGCTTGCAAACATTGAAACAAGCAACTTAGAAACACAGATAGTCAGCAAGAATCATAAGGTGTTCTGAATTATACACACATAGAATCTCGGAAATGAAATTGTTTCTTTAGCCAAGTAGAAAAACCAGCTGGTATACAAGAAAACAGCAGAAGAAAGAATAGACGCTACAGCAACAGTGAGCGAAATGCCACAGAAAGCTACTGTCTCAAAAGATGAAGCTCTGCTACCAAAGGACCCATTTCTTCAATGTTCCCTCTCTACCTTCATTTTCCTCTCCATTTATCCTCTATTGAGCCATCCTTCAGCAAAAGGAATGAACTGAATACGTAAAATCCACTTATTTGCTGTGGTTGGCCAGCTTTGGCTCTCCCATCAAACTGTATCAATTCCCTTCTCTGTAAACTCCTTGAAGCAGGGACCAGTTGCTACTTTATAGGTGACTATACCAAGCACAGCACAGCCCCACTTTTAAGTGTTGTTGCAAGGAACACGATTACCAGGAAAAAGCAAAAATGTATAAGAGAGAAACTTGGCCTGGTTCTGCTTTTATCTGGACACCTAACATCTTTGGCTTCCATCACACTTGTGGGTGGTTAATTCCAGAGCACACCCAGCAACACTAAGGATACCAAAGGACCTCTGCGGAGGCCTCATGCTGTATCCCCACACCCAGGGGCAGGAGGAGTTGGTCTCCTCCTCTCTCCAGGAACTTCCATCGAAGTATTTTCACATCCAAATGCAAACAACATTTTTTCTTTTAAATCTCCCTACCCACTTCTACCAAACAAAGAGAAAATATCAGAATGTACAGTGTTAAAGACTTGGCAGGCTTTCAAAGCTGTCTGCTGCAATTGCATGCCAAACTTCCATGAATGCTAAAGGGATGCGGATGTCCAATTACTCTTAAATAGCTCTGAAAATACTAGTCTTATGCCCAAGATTTTGTTCAGTTTGACTTCTATTCTGTGTTAGAAGAAAACCTTTATAGGCTGAACCCCGTCAAAAGAATGAATAAGGCTCCAGTCTCAAATTTAATCAAAGCAAAAGTTTAGTTGAAATCTGAAGGAAAAAAAGCCCAAACCAACAAACCATACTGAAAACTGATTAATTCATAATCTTGAAGAAGGGTTAAAAGTTATTGAGAAAGCAAATAGCACATCTGTGATTTTACTGAAGACA